GCTTGATTCTCGGCCTTTTCACATATTATATCAACCTCTCTCTTCTACTCTTGATTTCTATGGTTTAAAATTAAGTTAGATCTAAAGAACTGGATGATTTCACAATTCAGGAAAATATAGAAGCCTAGTGTTTCGGCAACTTTAAAAGAAAAAAGGTTTCAACACATTGACTGCCATGTGAGTTGTACTTAACTCAGGCTAGTTTTGAAGCAAAATGCTGCGGTTGGTTTGAAAATCTTACTTGTTGATGTTCTTATTGTTACAATTAATATTAACAATTCTAAAAACGTGGATTGTGTTGCATATAACTCAGGCACAGAAAACAATAAAAAGTAACAAACTGGAAAGGATCATTTCCTTTTCAAGAAACACCATGACCCCAAAGGAAATTTTTTCTAGGTGTGGCAGTCAATGTGTTAAAGGATATATTTTAAAACATTAACCAAATATTAATCCTTTTGAAGCTTCAAAAGAAAGATATGTAAATAACAAATTATATTCCAATCACAAGAAATTTAACATGAATGGGAAATCTTCTTACCTCAAAACCAGAGTCTTTTAGTCCTTCTTGATAGTGACAACTGTCAGAATTACCAATCTAAAAAAAAAAAAAAGAATAAATGTTTCCAATAAGAAAATATTTCTGATAAGAGCTTCCAAATATTAGCAATTAAATACAGAAAGAAGACCAGTAATCCAACAACTAAAGAGTTTTTTCTTCTTCAAGTAAGCAATTCAGTACCTAAACACATATCTATATACTCTATGCTTAACTGACCTGCTCAAGCATGGGCAAAAAGTTAACTTTTCGTAAGGCAGGATCTGCAACATAAAAGACAACTGGTATTAAATATGACATCTTATTTTTTATATTAAGTATTGCATCTAGCTTTCATGTCAAGTATATCAATAATAATATTTGATATTTTTTAATAACTAGCAACTTATATAATAAAATGCTTCTATGCAAGCTGATATATTGCTTTTCCAGGCTCCTACCCGAATCGATGTTTTCCCCATTTCTGGAGAGAGTAGTCATTGCAAATGGGAAGTCATAATCATCTTCAATACATTTGTTGAAACTCTAGAAACACAAAGAAGTTCTTAAATATGCTGTTTCACACCACTCTGAACCTAGCAGTGTAATATATACATATGTAATACACATCTGCTTAAAGTGACTATAATTGTAAATCCTTTAATGGGAAATACATAGTGTCTAAAGTATCGAATGCATTTCTACGTAAACAAATCTAAAATTTTTAGTTATTTTTACTTGTAAGATGAAGCTAAACTGTAAATTACTCAATATATGGCTTTGTAGGTATTCAAGAATAATATTAGTAATTTTAACTAGTAGTATAGAATATTAGTTTTCTTCAATTCCGTTATGATCTTTCTCTCAATAGAATCTAGAATTGACTTCATGGAATAGCACATTCTTGCTTACAGCAGCCATAAGAAATTCTCTATAGTGTATAAAATTATTCATTGCATCATTCCTCTTCCAACACAAAGTACCAATGACAAATTTTTTAAATAATTTGGTAGTTTTTTAAAAAGCTTCGTTTCACCTGAGAAACTTGGTATAATTCCTCCTTTCCAATGAGAACTCTACTATATAAATCAATTTCTCTCTTGATTCTGAGCACCGGGAAGCTCAGAGCCAAATCTGAAGCTCAGTCACAACACTAATTAGTGCCTATATGTAGGCATTAGTCCAAATATTCCTAATTTTCTCCTAACCTATATTGTAGTATTTCATTGTATAAGTCTTATAAGCTGCCACCAATCATTTAACGAAAGAAGGAGGATTAAAATAAGTAGGTCCTACTATGTATGCAGAGTTCTACAGCAGCAGTTATTTCTTTAAATGAATGATGCCTGCACACA